TTGCGGGTGGGGTGCGTAGATGAAAAATTTTAAAAAAGTAAAAAAAAAATACGTTTTTTTAACCGAGGAATGCCATCTGTTATGACAGATTCAAATTACCCACAATCCCCTGAAAGAGCTGCACTTTCGGTCAGCCATCAAGAGTTTAAGGAATATATTATTTGTCTTAAAAAAATAAATATAACGGTTTTTGCATTTAAAATCCCGCATATAATATTGGCAATAAAGCGGCTTTACCTCCATTAGTCGAACACTGCTAAAGGTCACGGCCATTGGATTACCCATTGAGCATAGCCAAAAGGTAAAACTGGCGGGAAATTTAATTTAAGAAGAGGCCATATATTGACATCCCTCATATAAGCACAGCCCGTTTATATATGTCAAGTCTAGACTTTTTAAGTGTAATAATGACTGCGACAGAACAAAAACTGCCCCTAGCCCTCATTTTAGCAGCATTTTGTTGCTGTCTTGCCTGCTGATGGTGTCGTTGCTGTTGCTGCTTCAACTGCAATGGCAATGCAGTTGCTGCACCTGTTGTTGAAGTTCCTCTTGCTGCCTGTCTCCGTTGATGCTGCTGCGACTTTTGTTGTAGGAGCTGCTGCTTCGCCGGCGGCGCCCACTGTCGTGTCATTTTCGGAGTTGGGAAATCCAGTGCAACGTTGCCAAATATCGCCATCGTCTTTTCCTTGTCTTGTCTGTCTGTCGGTCGGCGTTTACACTGAAAACAAGCCACAGGGACGTCAGATATCACGACACACATGAGAAAAGGAAAAGGAAGAGGTGTGCAAAAAAAAAAAATGGCGAATGAATAAATGAAGAACGAATGGAAAGAGAGTGATGAAAGAATAAAAGAATAGACGAATGAAAGAATAACGGGATAACAGAATGGAATAATTTCCTGATAAAAAACGAATGAGTCAATACCGAGAATATGAGGGTGGAAAGAAAAAAAACAAATTTAATTATTTACAACAAATTAACAAGTTAAAACAAAAACAAAAAAACAATAACAATTACTAATCAGAAGTTTGTTTGAATATCTATACATGTAATATGCAAAATTTCAAGCATATATATATATATATATATATATATATATATCATATATATTTTCAAAAATAATGACCGAAATCTAAAACTTAATAAACGAAATGAACTAATGTTAATGTTGTCTTAAAATATTTTAATTCTGGGTAAATATATTATCCGATTATCACACGCACTTACCATATTTTAGTTTACATGTTGATTACACCTCCCTTTAGCCATTTAATAATTAACGGCTTACCCGACGTTTCTCTTTGGCACTTGAAGCTTACTTTTTTGCTTTTTTTTTTTAACAATAGCCCTTTACCCACACTCTACATTCTGTATTTACACCATAATGTTATATCAAGTTTATATTAAACTTTAAATCTACGTTTATTTTAGCGTTACTTCCATGAGACTCAGTATATTTTTTTTGAAATCAAAAGTAATAATTCGTGCCTGATGAGTTGGTAGAACAACGAAACTTTAAGTTGCACTTCGAACGTAGGTATATATATATTTATTAATATATACTTCTTAGCTGTGTCTAATCAAATTGATAAGTTTTCTTTACACTTGCATTAAATTGAGTAAATATTTATTCGCTTACCTGTGCATGCAAGCTAACGCACGTATATACGGTTGCTAATATCTAGTTATTTGATTTAACCATATTAATACGTTAATATATATATATATATATATATATATATATATATATATATATATATATTCTTCTTTACATTACTATTGTCGTCATCTTTGTCGCCATATTTATTACAACGTTTCGGCCGTTGTACGCTCCGGTCTTCTTCAGGTGGTTGGAAAGTTGAACTGAACCCTTTATTTCGCTCACTGGGGTAGACTGTTCTAGTTCCACGTGCCATGTTTAATGGATGTCAATTATCAGTTATCTCCTGTTAATTCCCCTCTCCAAGTTCTCCACTGCCTTAACCAGGTATTGAACCCACACTATTTGGGTCCTGTCACTGGATCTAATTAAAGCTTTTATCCACTGTGCCATGTGTCCAAAGAGAGTGAGTTCAATACCCGGTTAAAGAACTGGAGAGGGAGTTCAATACCAACTGACATCTGACATCCATTAAACGTGGCACGTGGAACTAGAAGAGTCTACCCTAGTGAGTGAAATAAAGGATTCGGTTCGACATTCCAACCACCTGAAGAAGATCGCAGCGTACAACGGCTGAAACGTTGTAATAAATATGCCGACAAAGATGAGGACAAGAATCCGAATATTTAAATAGTGTACATAATACCTCATCTCAGAAATATAGACAGATATATATATATATATATATATATATATATATATATATATATATATATATATATTCGGAAATTGGAAAAATACAATAAAAATTAAACAGACAAACCTTGTCGGTTCTTTTAAACCGAGCTTGTTTTTGCGTCGTGCAACAAAAATACTTCCCACGTTTTCCTCCCAGAAATACCTCCTACATAATGGTAAGAAATTAGTGCCAATGGTGTCTCCATCTAGCTAATGCTTTACCATTAGGTGGGAGGTAGGTCTGGGAGATATATGTGGGAGGTATTTCTGCCGTACCATGTATTTGCACATGCATACATATATACAGGGTGCAATGGGTAAAATTGTCGTCATTTTATGTTTCGCATGGGTGTTTTTGATTTTGCTGACTTCATTGTATAGTAGGGTCAGTTGGGCATCGTCTGGGAGAAAGGAAAAACGCGTTGACACAATTCCCTCCGCCCAAAATTTGGAAACGGCATGCTGTACTTCTTGGCATTCGCGCCGGAAGCTCCAATACAAACATTTCAGAGTATTTGGGTGTCAATCTGAGCATAGCGTAGAGGATTCGGAAAGAGTTGGATGCTGATTACGTTTCATTTAGGTGTTTAGAGTTCGCAGTAGTGATGACGACGTTATACCTTCATTCATCTTCTCACAGGCCCTCAGACTCAACAGCGAGGCCTACCTCATGGGTATTGTGGAGGTAATGTAGCCTTGAGTCAAGAGGATAGCTGCTGGAAGACCCTATGTCTGGCAACAGTACTCTGCACCAGGCCTCAGAGGCAGTCATGGTTGACAGACAATTTCTGCAATCATATTACCCCTTACATAACTTAACTCCCCAGGGTACAATCCCTTCGATTATCATGTAAGGAGCGGGATTGATTGAGACCAACAACACTTCTTCCAGCACCAAAGATGAATGGAAAGCAAGGGTTATGGCAGAATTCACCAACTTAAACAAGTCGACCGTCCAGAAGAGTTGCAAGAGATTCCGAGATCGACTGGAGGCCGAGGTTGAAGCCAATGGTGATTTTATTGAATAAATTTACTCTTTATTATTTTAAGATAATTTTGTGCAATTTCAGTAAATATATTTGTTAAAATGAGATGCCAGTGTTATTTTAATTTTGCGTCATTTAGACGACAATTCATCCATTGGACCATATATATATATATATATATATATATATATATATATATATATATATATAGTGTGTATTTAGGCTGCAATTTTTCATTGATGCATGTTCCATTAAATACAATGGACAAGTTGTGTCTATTTATTTTAAGTAAGTTCCTTTCATATTGTCTGATAAGCTTGATAACATTATCATTGAAAGACGAAAGGAAATCACCATATTGATACGTTTTAATCCTATCTAAGTTTTCGGCTTACATAACCAATTATCAATCTAAGAAATCTCTACAAATATTCTTAAATGCCTATAACTTATGACAGAAGCCATTGGTTTATACCAACGGCTCCTCATACTTAATATTTCTTGTTTTAACTCTCGCGTGGTCATGTGTGACGTCACGAGCTGCGACGCGATTTTCGCTTCCGTGTCTCGTATACACGAGTTTGTCGTTGCTTTGAAATTTTTCATGCAACAGACTATCATTATTGTTTTGTCCGTGTATTGTTTGATATATTGAAATATAATTGTCAGCTTTGATAATGGCTTATGTAAGCCGAAAGCTTAGATTGGATTTAAACATGTATCAATATGGTGTTTTCCTTTCGTATTTCAATGATAATGTTATTAAGCTGATCAGACAGTATGAAAGGAACTTACTTAAAATAAATAGACAATACTTGTCCTTATTATTTAATGAAACATGCATCAATATATATATATATATATATATATATATATATATATATATATATATATAAATACAAATATGAAATTTGAGATTTAACTGATTCAGCACCTCTACTCAAGAGATTCGTCGACGAACTTTTGTTTAATCGTCAGTCGTCGGGAGGTATCAGCAGTTTTCTCTGAATTTTCTCATTTTCCTAATTTTTATATAAAAAATGATTTATGCTGTTTTCATTCCTGTTAGGTTAAATTGTGTGCTTCTGTGTGTATGTGTGTGTATGTGCGTGTGTACGCCTGTACGTGTGTGAATGAGCACGCACACAATCCCCCATCATATATATATATATATATATATATATATATATATATATATAGATAGATAGATATATAGATAGATAGATAGATAGATATGTGTGTATATGTGTGTATTTATACCGGGTGTAACACCAAAATTGTCCAAATCGTGTAACAGCATAATTATCTACCTCACAAAATGTTTAATATCTAAAAAAAAAAAAAGTCTAAACTAATTGGATTTCTTTTTTCCAGGTTTTCAGATAAGATGTTTAGCCATCTTGATACTATTTGTCGTAAGATCACTGAAAAACCTTGAAAAACCTACAAAGAGAACCGGTTAGAAATCTTTTTGTATCACTCCCAGTCTTCCCAACTGAGCAATGGTGAGAGGAAGAATATCATCCAGGCCTTCAGTAATGGTACCAACATTCACACTCTGTCTTCCATTTTCCAAGTTCATTCAAGAAACATCAAAATTACGGTGAATATTTTTAAAAAGCGGGAACAGTAGAGAGGAGATCTGGATCAGAAGATCACAACTAAAAGAGGGATAATTATTTCAACTTAGAGCTAAAGAGATCAATTAGAAAAGATCCAACTCAGTCAATAAGACATTTGGCACGTGACAGAGGAATTTCTGCTATGACAGTCCAAAGAGCAGTGAAGAAAGATTTGAAAATGAAATCCTACGTGAATCTTGTGAGGCATCTTGTTACTCCAGAACAGAAAGTTGGAAGGTTAGAGAGGGCGAAGATCATCTTGAATAAATTGGAAAATGACCCTGGAATAATAAATATATATTTGAACTTAATTTTAATCTTTCATGAGCTTCCGATCCTTAGCTATGATTAATTAATGAACAAGTCATGATTTTTATGATCGATTTTATCACGATACTTCTGTTAAGCATGGAAATTAATTATACATTCATATTGCTCAAAATAGTCTAATAGTGTTATAAAAACCTCGGGGTATTCCAGTAAGATATCTTTAATCATTTATAAGATACAACGGTTCTTAATCTAACATATGGACAATTTTGCTGTTACACGATTTGGACAATTTTACTGTTACACCCGGTATATATATATATATATATATATATATATATATATTTGTTAATTTTTTATATGATTATTGATTTTTATAGACCATACCGTGTTATTTTGTTTATTTATTTTTATTTTCTTTTATATTTATTTACATCATTCCATTTCGGATAGTTTTTTTTCCTTGTTATCTTTTTTATTGATATATTTTATTTTTGTTTGTTTTAACATACCTAATTAGGTTCCCAACTTTAGTATTTGAAAAAAGTTTAGAAGTTTTCGTTTATGTGTTACCAGTCGTTTAGTCTTTCGAGTGTTGATATGATTTTCGTGGTTGTAGGTAGCCGAATTGGAATTAAATAGGACGAACGCTTAAGGCTTGAAACAGCAAGTCATTATGAAGGCTTTTGTATTTACATCGTTCAGACTAGTGTCCACATCTTTATTGACATATTCACGACGTTTAGATCGTTGTACACTCTGGCCTTCAGGATCTGTCTATATTTCTGAGATGAGGTATTGTAACTATTTACACTGTTTATATTGTTCAGACTGTTGTCCACATCTTAGTTGTCATATTTACGACGTTTCGGCCGTTGTACACTCCGGATTTCTACAGGTAGTATATATTAGAATTTCAAACTGAACCTTTTATTTCGTCTAGGAGGGTAGATTGTTCTAGCTCCACGTGCCACGGATGTTTCTTGGAGGAGCGGGGACGATGATATCTCAGTTTCAATTAATCCTCTTTAGTAACTCAACTCGCAAAGTTTTTGTTCACCTCTGCTGTGGCCAGGTATTGAACTTACAAATCTTTGGGTTAAATTACTGGATTCTTTCAATTAACGCTTTTATCCACTAGGTCACAATCTTAACAACATACCGATGACACTGTTTTGATAGGGGATACGCAAAGAATACTAAAAAAATTTCCCACAGAAGGATAGTGAAGGAAAGCGAGAAGAAAGGATTAAACATCAAATGCAAGAAGATAGAATGTCTGGTTGTTAGGGAAAGGATAAGCCCCAAGCGTGAGTTGCAAATAAGAGAAACCAAAATCAAACAAGTGTTGGAATCAGGGAATTATTTTAACAGAGGATGGAAAGTATGGCACTGAAATCCAATGGTGTATTGGAATTGCCAAAGATGCATTCCAAAAGCTAACCAATGTACTAAGAAATAGAAAAAAATGACCAGAAACAAGGAAAAGAGTACTAAACTGCTACATGATATCTGTCCTGCTCAGGGAATGCTGGACAATCTCCTCAAAGATGAAAAAGAGACTTGAAACAACAAAAATGTGGTTCTACGATGAGACTACATCTGTCAGAGAGAATAACTACGGGGGAGTTACCTTCTCTTGATGAGACTACATCTGACAGAGAGAATCCTACGAAGTGAGAGAGAAATACCTACGGGAAAATTACACCTTCTCTTGATGAGACTACATCTGTCAGAGAGAATACCTACGGGAAAATTACATTCTCTTGATGAGACTACATCTGTCAGAGAGAATACATACGGGAGAGTTACCTTCTCTTGATGAGACTACATCTGTCAGAGAGAATACCTACGGGAGAGTTACCTTCTCTTGATGAGACTACATCTGTCAGAGAGAATACCTACGGGAGACTTACATTCTCTTGATGAGGCTACATATGTTAGAGAGAATACATACAGAGACTACATCTGTCAGAGAGAATACCTACGGAGACTTCTCTTGATGAGGCTACATATGTTAGAGAGAATACCTTACCTTCTCTTGATGAGACTACATCTGTCAGGAGAATACCTACGGAGACTTACCTTCTCTTGATGAGACAACATATTCTTGAGACAACATATGTTAGAGAGAAATACCTATCATAATCTAAATAATATATGTTTATTTATTTGACTTTGATTTGAAGCAATTCCTTTGTAATTCGGCTTGGCAAAAGTTCATTCAGCTGGGTAGTTGACAGTTTATGAGTTAGACTTTGGTAGTAGTCAGCAGTTTGGTTACTTGGAAACATGTTGTGGACACCAAATGCTGTATTTGCTCAGCCCTCATGAAGAGCAGAAAAATATCTTAAACTGATGACTGCTTAGTTTCTTTATGCAACATGGTTGGCTGGTTTCACTGACTGACTCATCTCTGTTATTGTCTGTCTCTTTATATAACTTATTCAACCTACCCAGCAAGGCGATCCTGAGAGAACTAGAAGTCCTAAAAGGATTTATTATTGGCAGCTACAATATTAACAACATAAGATATGCCAATGACATAGTGTTGATAAAAGACACAGAAAGAAAACTACAACAACCCCTACAGAAGGTCTTGAAGGAAAGTGAAAATAAAGGATTAAACATCAACTGCAAAAAGACAGAATGCATAGTTGTTAGCAAAAGGACGAGTATTAAATGTGAATTGCAAATCAGAAAAACCAAAATCAAACAAGTGTTGGAATCAGGGAATTATTTTAACAGAGGATGGAAAGTATGGCACTGAAATCCAATCGTGTATTGGAATTGCCAATGGTGCATTCCAAAAGCTAAGCAGTGTACTAAGAAATAGAAAAAAATTGCTAGAAACAAGGAAAAGAGTACTAAACTGTTACTTGATATCTGTCCTTCTTTACGGCAGTGTGTGCTGGACAATGGCCATCAAAGATGAAGAAGAGACTTGAAACAACAAAAATGTGGTTCTACAGAAGAATGCTGAGGATTCTATGTACCGAACTTCTGAGCAGCGAAGAAGTTTTAGAGAAAATGGAAATAAAAATGAAACTTATATTTAATATCAGAAAGTGACAGCTGAAATTTCTAGGGGACATAATGAGGAAAGAGGGTTTAGAAAATCTGATACTAAAAGGACAAATTAATGGCAAGTGGTACAAAGGAAAACGGCGCATAACATAGTGAGCTTAAGTAAATGGATGGCGGAACAGGGTTTAGGAGAAATAGTAAAAAGACACAGGAAAGGGAGTTGTGGAGAGCCATTATCGCCCACGTCCTGAGGGGACATGGAACATAAAGAAGACAAAATCTTTCGAACATGTGAGAAAGATTTTAGAAATCGGGATTTTGAGACAACCGTATGTCCTTCCTCAACGAGAAAAGAAATACAAAAGGAAAATTAAAGTGGGATTTCTTTGCCGTTGGAAAATAGAAATGGTACCTTTTTCTGCATGCGTTATATGGTGAAGAGATTTAATAGATTTTGGCTTGTATTTGCCAAGATTTGGGCTGTACAATGTTTGTACAAGGCTTTTTGTGGAAACTGTATTTTAAGCATACGCATGCGCGTGTGCAGACGATTAAAAAAAAGCTTTCTACAAACCCTCGTTAAACTTAATCGTGGCAAGCAATTACCCAAAACTATCAGATCTTTTCAGCATTATAACACATACGAAAAAAAATTTCCTGTAAAAGTAAATCTCAGTTCATCTTTCTCTCGTCTCGTTGAGAAAGGACACAGTCGTGTCCGAAAATTCCGATTTTTAACATCTTTCTCAACATGCTTCGATTTGGTCAAAATATCTACTAATATATAATAAATGTTATTAGTCTTACTATCAATATTATTATCTTTCATGTTTTTTATCTCTCGAATTTTTTAATCGGCCTACTACACACACACGCGCACACGCACACACACACACACACACACACACACACACACATATATATATATATATATATATATATATATATATATATATATAAAGAAATATAGTTTTAAGGTATGCTATATTTATGGGGTATAGTGCTCAATATCAGAGATAGATCGTATGTAAATATAAAAGTGAATATTGAAGCCATCACTTATTAAACTCTTGGCTCGCGAGTAATTTAACATCAACCGAGGAGACACATATGTAGTGTTGAAACATATTAAACATTATGTAGCGATTTTTAACATATATTTATATCCTAAAATAAATCATATTTAGCTCAACTTTTAAAGCCCTCTTTTAAATTAAATGTTACGCACATGGAATTATACCCCATTTGCTCTCATTTTACCTGAATAGATAGATAGATAGATAGATAGATAGATAGATAGATAGATAGATAGATAGATAGATAGATAGATAGACACACTGTTTACATTGTTCGGACTATACTGCTCATCTTAGTTGCGATATTTATTACAAGGTTTCGGCCGTTGTACGCACCGGCCTTCTTCAGGTGGTTGGAATATCGAACTGAACGCTCTCTGGGGGAGACTGTTCTAGTTCCACGTGCCGTGTCTAATGGATGTCAGTTATCATTTATCTCCTGTTGATTTCCCTCTACTGCCTTAACCAGGTATTGAACTCACACTCTTTGGGTCCTGTCAATAGATCTAACAAACGACTTTATCCACTGTGATAAATATGGCAACAATGATGAGGACGATAGTCCGAACAAGGTAAATAGTGTACATAATACCTCATCTCTCTCTCTCTCTCTCTCTATATATATATATATATATATATATATATATTTATTTATTCCTATATGATGCATTTATGTGGAGGGGGCACGCATGCGCATGTGCAGACAAGCCAAACTCTACCTTCCCTGCCTAGGGCCTACTCACCGCTTTTATCCGGCGCCCGTTGCAGTAGAGGAGGCATCTCCGTAAATATGGTATTTCCGTCTGTCACCGGTTCAGCTGTTCCTGAACCTTGGACAGAAAAGATCAGTTTATATATATATATATATATATATATATATATATATATATATATATATATATATATACATGTGTGTGTGTGTGTGTGAAAAGTGTGTGTCTATAAATATATATATATATATATAATTATATCTATAAATATATATATATATTTTATATATAAATTTTATATATAAATTATATATATAATATATATATATATATTATATATATATATATTTATAATATAATATAATATAAACATTATATATATATATATATATAATCATATCTATAAATATATATATAATTTTATATATAAATTTTATATATAAATTATATATATAATATATATATATATAATTATATATATATATATTTATAATATAATATAATATAATATAAACATTATATATATATATATATATATATATATATATATATCTTCATCACTATTTGACTCGATCCGAGCGACACAAACCGATCTTATTTATATATATATTTCTATATAAATATATATGAAGAAATATAGTCTTAACATGGGCTATATTTATGGGATAAAGTGCTCAATATCAGCGTGTGAATATAAAAGTGAACATAGAAGTCAACACGTAGATCATCAGGCCTGACGATTGCAACTAGCATGAATTTTCACACACATATATATATATATATATATATATATATATATATATATATATATGTAGATAGATAGATAGATAGATAGATATACAGGGAGAGAGGGTTAGTTCGAGAAAAATGTGTTGTAATCTAAAGGCATTCTCGAATTGAATCACTTCCCGTAATTTACTTACAAAAAAAATCTTATGCCGAAGCAATCTTTTGTCTCATAAAGAACATTTTAACAGCCCGCCTCGTGCACACTGTAATATACGGTACCTATGAACACTAATGGGTATGCCCCACTCTTCATAAATACGTTGGACAGTATTGTAAATGAGTGTAATAGTCTAAGTAGTCCACCACTAGCAGTGGTTTACCTACTTCACGCCGCTGGCGAGTATTGTATTTTGTTGATGTTATAAAGATTATCATTTCATTTCCAACCTCTGTTTTTGTTATTCCTCATTCAGTAACCTTTTCTAGGTTACAACATCAGTGTTGTTTGATTATTGTCTCATATTTCATAATGGATGATTCCTTGAATATCCCACCATACATTCAACATGATCTTCTTTGGATAATGTTCTCCTCTCAGTAGCTAAGCAGGTCCATTTTCCACTGATTGATCCATTGATGATGTCACTTAACATTATGATAAAGGATTTCTTTCTCATCACCAGTAACAAAGCTTGACGAAAAAGGCACTTGAAGTTGTCATGTAAGCAATGGCTCGCAACAATTGACACATTGTTGGTGATTCTCTGGAGACAGGCAGTGAGGAACCCGGACAAAGCTATGCCGAAAGGCAAAGTATCGTCCGGAGAGGCAGACAGATACCCGATACCGTGTATGCGGGATCTACAGACAATTTTTACCCGAGCACACCTAGGCTAGGTAAATACCGTAATATGGTGTCTAAGTAGTCTACCACTAGAAGTGGTTTACCTACTTCACGCCAATGGCGAGTTTTGTATTTTGTTGATGTTATAAAGATTACCATTTCAATTCGAAACTCCGTTTTAGTTATTCCTCATTCAGTAATCCTTTCTAGGTTATAACACACAGCCACACTCACACCCACACATGCGCATATGCAATGCCAGTCGTCTTCTTCTGTTGCTTCGATCGCGGTTCATTTTTTGTCTTTTCCTCAATCCCTCATTCTTTTCTCTCTGTCGGTAATCCCCTGCGCACTAGTGGCACTACCGTCTTGCTTGGGGTGAAATGATTAAAAAAAAGTTATTCAAAATTCATATTATTATTGTTATTATTATTATTATTATTATTATAAACCTTGAACAGGTGCGTGAGTAATCATTCCTAATTTTTACTATTTTATCACTGAAATAAATGTCTACGGGCCTTGACCATGAAAAAATTCTTGTCCAAAATAGACCTTTTGACAAGGTACGAATCCCCACACTTGCTCCATATCTGGCCTCGTTTATAAATCACTAGCGGGTCTTAAATGCCACTTAAGATGAGCGCACAAAATTTCATAACTGAATCAATAAGCTGTCAGATCCTCATACGTCGAAAACGACGGGAGAGTCCATTATATATATATATATATATATATATATATATATATATATATATATATATATATTATCGCCTACCAGCCTGAATGTTCGAAAATCCTCTTAAAGAGAAATTTACTCTCCCTGGCGATATTATTCTTTAATAAGATTTCTTCAACAGACAGAAGGAAAAAAATAAATATACTATTTAATAAATAAATGGAGCGTCTACCCAAATATGTGTATCGACTAAAATAGCATGTAAAGTGATAAACAATTTGTTGGATTAATAAAAAAGCTCATCTTTTCCTGTATATACATAAGACAACGAAGAAAACGCCTGATGACTGTTAAAGGATATATATATATATATATATATATATATATATATATATATATATATATATATATATATATATATATAAATAATGACGGAATTGGATGTTAATTCTCTTTAGGATTTGGGGGTTAAAAGGTTTCGAAAAAGGCTTCTAGTTTATAGCAATTTAGACGCTAAAGGCTAAATATCGATTATCGATTTCTAGGCAATATCCGTTTTCAAGTTTAACAATATTGATTTTAAAAGGTATATTTCATTAATTAACTGTCGTTTATTAGTGTTCTCTTATTCGAGAATTTTTTTGATTTTCACACCAAAAATAGTTCTGTTTAGGAATATTGTCTTATATAATGCAGAAGGTTTTCGAAATCAGCAGTTTATTTGGCCTTCAATAAGTTGGCATCTATTTGTAAAACTTTCCTTAATTATAACATGCCAATTTATGAATAATTATGAAAACATTTTCTTTCAAAGATTTCAAATTATGAATATATCTTACTTTGCGAATTTTCCTAGTATAATATATTTTTCCTAGTATAATATATATCAATGATAAGATAAAGAACAAAGAACAAACGGAAATAGAAAATAGGAAATTCTAATGTTTCTCCGACTAAATAAATACAAATGTTTTCTTTTATGTTTGCAACCAATTTATGAATGAAATGTTCGTTTAAAATTTTTGTTTCAAACATTTCAAGTAGTGAATATATGATAGCGATAACGAGCAGGCGAATATATATATATATATATATATATATATATATATATATATATATATATATGAACATAAACTAAAGCTATATACATAAAACAGTTGAAACCTAACCTGAACAAAATAAACTATGAAAACTCCACAAATATATCAAATGCATATAATTGATAACAGAAGCCATTGGCTTATACCAACGGCTTCCCATACTAAATAGTCTTGTTTTACCTCACGCGTGGTCATGTGTGACGTCACGAGCTGCGATGCGATTTTTGCTTCTGCGTCTCGTATACACGAAATTGTCGTTTCTTGGAAATCTTCCATGTAAACAAAACAGACTATCATTGTTGCTATGTCCGTGTATTGTTTATTTTATTGTAATGTAATTGTCATCTTTGATGATG